AGACATGCCAGCTCCAACTGATGACCCCAAAAAGCCAACCTGTGAAGGGTGTTTTATGTAAGGAAGGCTAGAAACATTCCCTTATTTGTCTCCTGAGAGGCAGAAGGCAGCTTGTAATTAAACCCAACCAAGTTTTCTTGGGGAGCTAGGGGCAGGAGAATGACAGAGGAAAAGAGACCGTCAATCTAACTTTATTAAAACATCCAAACCAGACACTGCAGCATGTGCCTGAGGTCCCTGCTACTCTTACTCTGGAGGCAGGGGGGCAGGGGGGGGGGGTGTGAAACGACATCACTTGAGACACTGTAAGTAGGGCCTAGGACTGTAACTCAGTAGAGCGCTTGCCTAGCATGCACAAAGCCCTGGGTTTGATCCTCAGCACCACACAAACCAGGTGAAGTGACACAAGCCTAGAATCCCAACATTCCAGTAGAGACAGAAGGATCAGGAGGAGTTCAAGGTCAACCTGGGATATAAGAGGCCTAGTCTATAAATAAACAATCAGACAATTTAATCAGTTGTATTTCTGTGTGCAAACTGTAAGCCAATACATTGTAGTAATCAACATATATTAAATATTTTCAGTAGAGAAGTACTGTACTAGATATATACAAAAAACCCAAAGAACTCTGAAATAAGCATAAATCAATTAAATTAGAAAATGTTCAAAGGATCTACTGAAGTTTCTATACTATTAATCAGAGTGTTTTAATAGTAAGACACTTATTGTTTTAAAAAATTGTAAGTTTGTTTTCATTAAAATATGCTATATTTCCTAAGCCATCAAAATTTTCAGGATCTGTGTGCATCAGTGTGGTGCCGGCTCTCACCTCACCTCACCTCACCTCACCCCAGGCTCCACTTGCCTGCAACAGAGAGTGACTGTCTCATTCCTCAGGGCACCTGGAAAGTTCCTCTACAGAGACTAACCAAGAAGACTGGCAGACAGAACCAGAAGTGCAAGCCTGTCAGTACACTTACCCTATGGGACAAACAACCCACACACCCCCAAAACAGCCCTGGGCTCCCTGAGAACCGGGAGCAGTGGAGAGGGAGAGGCAGCCGAGGACAGCAGGGGGACTCAGGTCCTCCCCTGCTCCACTCTGTACAAGCTGGCCTGGACGGTTCCCAAAAGCCCCCGGCCCCCAGTCTTCAGTCAAGTCCAGCAAGTGTCCAGTTCATCGCTGCTAACTCGAGGTCTCTTCAGAGAGGTCTACAGCACCCAGTCCACAGTGAAATGTTTTCAGGATTTAAGGTAATCTTAGGGACCTGAGTCCCCCTGACCTCTCCTTCCCGCATTTCTTACCTCCATCATAAACCCCAGCCTTCTCCGAGACTCACCGTTTCTGAGCAAGGGCTCAGCTCAGCACCTTGGCGCTCCTGCGCCTCCTCCCTCTGAACAGGCTCTCTCCCACTAGGTGTATTAGTCACACAGCAGGCCTGCTCCACCCCCACAGTGCTTCCTCTGCACCAAAGACAATCTGCCCGCAACCGCCCTGGGTCAGCCTCAGTGCCATTCTGCCTGGACTGTTGGGTCTCTGGGGGGCTAGTGTGACCGGCCGCCACCCTCCCGCTCCTCTGAAAAGGAGAGTCAGACACAGAGACTCACAGCAGGCTTCCTCACTGGATTCTAGAGGCCCCCCGAGACTGACTCAGACTGACTATTTCCTTGTTTCTACACCTGTCCAGGACAAGTGTTATTCCCAAGGGTGCTTTCCACACTCACAAACACTGACAGCCAGGCTCTGGCCCAAGTCAGTGCTCTCACAGCCACGATGCCAGGCGTCACGGCCAACAGGACACGACCGTGTGTGTAGTCACCACTGGGCCAACAAAAATCACCTGGGCAGGGCACAGAGTACTAATGGGTTTGTGCATGCAGAGGCTGAGTGGGGGCCTTTCCCCTCCTTTAAATTGGTTTAATGAGGAGCTGGCAGTCATGCCCCGCCCCCATACCCACCAGGACTTCAAAGATGAGAACAGAGCACTGGAGCTCTTCTCTGGGAGGAAACCGGGCACTGATCTGGGGAAGGTCAAGCCTCCTCCAACCACCTCAGAATCAACTGGGACCTCACTGGTGCAAACACAAGGGAGAGAACACTCCAGGGGAAGAGGGGGGCCACTCTCATACCCAATATTGAATGCTGCCTCAAAATGGCACACCTCCACCGTTCATGCTCTGGTTAAGCCAATGCCGGGGCTTCCGGGCACCCCAGCGGCTCCCACACCAGGCAGGGTCTCATCCACTGCAGGACAGCACCACCTGGTGAACAACAGCCTGCATGTCTAGGTGTCCTGGTGTGTGTCCCTCCCCCCTCACCTGTCTCCTTCAGGGGATCAGGCAGGCCTGAGAGTCTCCCAGCCACTGCAGGCCCTTCCCTCTGTCCTTCTGCACAGCACACCTCCATAGAAAAGGCGCACTTCTCGTGTGCGCCCTCCACTACTAGCAGACAAGTATCAAAGGACATCCACTCCACAGCAGGCCCTCTGCCCGAGGGACCCCGGCCGACCCTGAGGCCCTCAGACACGCACACCCTTCCAATCAGACCTGCAGCAGGTTAAGTACACAGCACCCTTGTGCTCTGGCCTCTGCCCCACCAAGAGCAACCTGCCTGTACCATCGCTTCCGGCCGGGCCAGGGAAAACATCCTTTCTGAATTTGAGACTACAACAAAGGCAGCAGTAGAAATTACAGAGGCCAGAGGGGCAGGAGCTTCCTTCGAGGAGAAGAGCCGCCCCTCCAGCCTGTTTTTGTGGTGGTGCGATCACAGAGAGCAGGTTCTGTATCTGGTCCTACATGGGTCTTAAGGATCTCCGCTGTAATTACGGTAAGGAAGAAGAGAGGCCCGGGAGACCAGAGGAACTCTGAGTGGTACTTGCGAAGTTACTCATTACTACAGTCAGACTGCCTGCTGTACTCCAACAAAAAAAAAACTACGCCCTGAGATTTTTGTCCCTCAAAACCAACTTTAGATTAGCAAGGAAAAAAAAAAAAAAAGCATGGGATGTTTTCCGAATCTCTTTCAAATCCCTTCCTTTCAAAGATGCTTTCAGTACATAGAACAATATTTGTACCCAATCAAGTTTCTAAAAATAGGCACTATGTTATATAATATCCCTACATAAAATATACAGTTTGATAAAATGCATCAGTGTTAATGGGATTTTTATGAAAGCTGAAACCCAAGTCTATAGAGCAGTGGTTCTCAACCTGTGAGTAACGATGCCTTTGGGGATTTACATATCAGATATTTACATTATGATTCATAACAATAGCAAAATTACAGCTCTAAAGTAGCAATGAAAATAACTGTATTAAAGGGCCGCAGTGTTAGGAAGGTTGAGAGCCACTGCTACGGAGACGGAGGACTCCAGCCACCTTTTACTAACGTTTAATTTTCAGATCTCATTTCAAACTGACTGCCATTTTTGCTTGTTTTGCTTTGCTTTGGTTTTCCAAGTCAGTGTCCCCATAGTTCCCTGGCTGGCCTGAAATGCCCCATGTAGACCACCACACTAGCCTCCAACAGTGACCCCGGCCTCCGTCTCCCAAGTGTTTGGATTATAACCACAATCCACCACACCCAGATTTCCAACTAACTCAAGACAGAAGGACGGCCTAGGGGTGCGTGCTCAGCACCTCAGGAGGCTGAAGAAAGGAAGAGGACATGTTCAAGGCCTGCCTGGACCATGCCCAGTAAGTGCAAGGCTAGCCTGGGAAACATGTCAAGACCCTATCTCCAAACAGAAAGTAAAAACCGGGCTGGTTAAAGGTGCCTGCTGTACAATCCGGAAACCTGAGTTTGATCCGGGAAGCCACACGTGGAAAGAACAGACTCCAATAAGTTTTCTCTGACCTCCATGTACATACTCTCTACATAATAATATATTTACTTGTTGTTTTAAATGACATTCTTTATTTTTTATTTTATGTGCATATATGTTTTGCCTGCATGTGTATCTGTGTGAGGGTGTCAGATCTTGGAATTACAGATAGGTGTGAACTGCCACGCAGGTGCTGGGAACTGAACCTGGGTCCTCTAGAAGAGCAGTCAGTGCTCTTAACCGCTGAGCCATCTCTCCAGCCCCTACTTATTTTTTAAGTATAAAACGGGCTGGGGATATAGGTCAATGGTAGAGTGCCTGCTTAGCATGTGTGAGATTTCGGGTTCAAGCCCCAGTATACAAGATGTAATGCTTTTGAGAAGAATTACTAGGGCTTATCCATTGCTCACCACTTTCATTCAAAACTGAATAGACTTCAAAGTTGTTTATCCAATAGAAGTAGTCATCCAAAAAAACCCACTTTTTCCCCTCTCTCAAGTATTATCCTAAGACTGGCCTCCTCAGGCCCCAAAACAAAAGGCAGTGTATATGTTCATGAACCAAAGCCTGCCATTACTGGGCCCATGGGATAGTCCTCGGGCTCTGTGGGGGGCTCCACAGCTCGGACTAACACGGACTAGAAGCCAGAGGGGCAGAGGTTCAACAACAGGGCAGAGGGCAGAGTTCATGACGAGGTTCGGAGTCACACTCAACTGCAACCAGGGGGGCGGGGAACAGTACCCCAGGGCTCCTAAAAACAAACCAAGCAAGCTCTGGTTTCTGCTGCGCTCTGAGTGATGGCGCTTAATAGAAAGCAGGCTGGGCCAACAGCAAGACGGGGAGGAGTCTCTCCTTTGTGGGAATTCCTCTGGCATTTGGAGCCTAAGTGGCAAAGGACTCTTTTTTTTTTTTTTTTTTTAATAGGGCTTTATTGTTTTGCCCGTACTGGTCTCCAACTCCAACTCCTCCTGCCTCAGCCCATCCTGCACCCAGGACTACAGGCAGGTGTCACCAAGCCCAGCTGCAAAGGGCATCATTTCCCATTTCGAATCTTGCACAACTTTCTTTTTCTTGGAGGCGGGCATCCCTGCTAGCCCCACAGGGAGATAGATGGCTTCCCACCCCAAACACCTATTCAAATTTCCCGGGGAGTTCTCACGATGATGCTGACTGACGTTTTCAAGAGTTCTAGGAGAATCTTTAGTTGCAGGTTTAACATTAGTGCGCTTCGTCAGCTTGTCCTACGGAGGCTTCTCATTGGTAGCCAGGAGTGCCAGCCACTACCCTCGACCAATTGTCGGAATGTTTCCTTTGTCCTTCTGAGCACCGGCTGGGAAAAACTCACACCTTGAGAAAACAAACAGACCTGAGGAGGAAGTGGAGAAAGACAGAGTGGGTAACTTCAGGGGGGCATCCCTGGGGTAGGTGCAAGGTGTGGCCTGAGGGGAAGCCGAGAAAAGAGACAGAAGGGGCCACTGCTAAGTCTTGCATAAACTGTCACTAAATGTGGTTGCTCTGGCAGGCCTGAGATAAGGGTGAGTCTGTGAAGAACACTCCCACCTTCAGCCCTTTCAGAGGCGAGAAGTGACCATACTGAGGGTCTCCTGCGGGAAGGGACGGACAGCCCCAAGACTGCTGACTCTCCTCTCACAGGCAGGATGCCTTTAGCCTCCCGCCCCCGACCTGTCCCTGTTCTTCTTGGACGCCTCTTCCCTCATTTCTGTTCCTCCCGGGGGAAACCTTTGTCTTCCCCATCTCACTTGTGCCCAGGGTGACCTGGCCATTCTCAGGCACCACCAGGGCCACTCCTCCGAGCTGGAATCGCAGTGTCTGCATTCCAATCACAAACCCTTCTCATTCCTCCTCGGAAATGAGCTGTGCAATCTCCCTCCGCACCTACGACTTCCCTGGGAGGGTTGGGAGAACTCCCTCTCCTCCGCCTAGGGCTTCTGGTAGCCCCACTGGGTCTCCAATGTAGACTGCACGGCCCTTCAAACTCAATGCCACTTGGATCCCTGCCCTCTCGATTCCAAATCCCTGACTCAATCACACAACAGGCACCCTGGACGCAACGCCGCTATTTCTAACTGCAGGCTGGAGGTCTGCTGATTCTCCCTACTACAAACTATGGTTTTTGATGACAGGGTCCATGTCATCATGGAGGAAGTCCCATGGATTTCTAGAACACTGGATCAGAAAAGGCCTTTGCCTCGGGTCCGAGTTGCTCTCTATCCACTGTCTCACCATCTGATAAAATGTTTTTTTGTTTGTTTTTCGAGACAGGGTTTCTCTATGTAGCTTTGCGCCTTTCCTGGAACTCAGTTGGTAGCCCAGGCTGGCCTTGAACTCACAGAGATCTGCCTGCCTCTGCCTCCCAAGTGCTGGGAATAAAGACGTGCGCCACCACCACCACCACCGCCCGGCCATTCTCTTCTTTTCATGATGAAATTGCACTGGGCACAGATGAGAAGATGCTGTTGCTGAGACGCTGAGCTAAGGAAGCCTGACAGCTGAAAACCCTCTTACCCAGAAGACACCAGGAGCCCAGCAGCACAGGAGTTTTCAGAGTTGCCACAATCCGGGACTACACTCAGGGTCCAGCAGAGGGGTTCCCAACCTCCACCCTCCACCCCTTTCCAGACCCACCCTTCCAGCTAATTCATCTCCTTTGGGATACAACTCCCACAGGAGGGAGTATTTGGTTCCCCAGGCCACTGGCAATTAAGAGGGTGGAGGGACGGCCAGATCAAGGCACAAAGACAGCACTAAAGTTAAGAGTGACAGGGGAGAAAATGTACAGTTTAGCCTTTCAGTGCCCCAAAGCACCAGGGACATTACAAGATGCACAATGAGCTGCTCAGAAAGATGACCCTGGGCACCAAAAAGGAAAGATGTGGCCAAACTCTGTCCCTTAAAACCCAAGTAGTCTAAAAAACAAAATGGAGTTCGCAGCAGTCTGCAGCCAACTGCCATGTTCTATATGTCCTGGAGGCTCCAGGACTACCCAAGGCCCTGACAGCCCTTCCCAAAGTCAGGATGCAGCGCTCATCACTGCTATGTGGACATGGAATTTCCTCTGGCTACACCGACATCCATCACTCCCTTATCTACCTTTTTTATGGCATCTGTATGCTCCTCGCCAGCTTCCAGGCTTCTCTGAGCCCAGGGCTACAGTGGGGTGGAAGCCATATCCTTCCTCCTTCCGGATGACACTAAGCCTGTGGCTCAGTCAGCTCAATCTGTCCTGGAGTCCTGGGGCCTTAGGACCCTGGGGAAGCAGTATTTAAATGGGTGTGTTTTAAGATAGTCTATTTCTCCTGCTTTGAGGTTAATAGAATGGGTCGACACATTAGGGTTCTGTGATCAGTGAGGCCAGTGGCAACTACCTGTACAGAACCTGTATGGCATAGAGAGCCAAGCAATAGACTCAGCACTGTGGCCTAAGGGCAAGGGTGGGCTTACCCTTGCTCTAAAAGGATAGCTCTGGCCGGGCGGTGGTGGCGCACGCCTTTAATCGGGAGGCAGAGGCAGGTGGATCTCTGTGAGTTCAGAGAGCCAGCCTGGTCAACAGATTGAGTTCCAGGAAAGGCACAAAGCTACGCAGAGAAACCCTGTCTCGAAAAACCCAAAAAAAAAAAGGATAGCTCTGGCCATTACTTACTCAGAGCGGGCCTACTGTGTGACCTGATAGACAACAATATTCAAAAGCACCAAACTGTTTTAGATTGAATGAAGAAATTGCTGCAATACACTTAACCTGGTAGTTCTGTAAGGTGAGGCCATATACTTACAAGCCAGGCATTACAATGCACACTACATACAGTGCTGGGTCGTGGAAAGCCGAGGCAGGGGGATCAGGAGCTCTGGGCCAGCCTGGGCTACTAAGATCCTATCTCAAAATGAGAAATAAAATCCACATCTGCTTCTACATTTGAAAAAATAATTCTCAATATTGTTTCAAACTTATTAAATACAATCCACACACTCTAAACCCCAGTCATTTATTTACAGAACAGGCCAAGACGACCGCCCGGGACACTGAGAACACTCAGCTGGGACTTCCAGGCCTGGTCTGCTGTTCTCAGTGTCTACAGAGCCCTTCCTCCCCACAGCCAAGCCTCTAACCTTCAATCCCACCCATCCCTTCCTGGCTCAATCCAGTGGGAATTTCTACACTAGAGATTTAAATAGCCCCTGGCTAGTCCTGACCCTGTCAGCTTCTTTTCCTGTAACTTGCACAGGCCTAACCCACCCTTTACCTCAGTTCTGATAAGCAGACTCTCCCCAGATAACCTGTTAAATCCCCTGGGGCTGAGGAACATCCTTGCTCTTGGCTTTTTTGTCTAGGTAGGACACTGGCAGTCACTCTGAATCCCCAAGGCCAGAGCCGGTCCAGGGACACGGGGTGTGTCAACCCTCTCCCATGACAAGGCCCAAAGGACCCCCATCCAGGCCATTCAACCCTTCTCTTCTGGAACAAGGACTTCCTTCCAGCTGCAGACAGGCCAGCTGTCTCCACCCCTGGGCAGGGCACTCCAGGCCCAATGCTTGGCACTGATTAGGAAATGACTCATCACAAAGCACCGAGGGGCCTCTGGCTATGGTACAAGTCAGTCATAAGATCTGGATCTATCTACCCAAAAAAAAAAAAAAAAAAGAGAGAGAGAAAGAGAAAGAAAAAGCCAGAAAATAAAATCCCAGCAACAAAATGGGGACAGCTTTCAAAGGCTGGAGCTGTGGTGTGATGGAGACCAACTCCGTGCATGCTTCCAAATCATCGGCTAAACACAAAGCAAAACCACTGAGGCAAACAAATCACTGGAACTGGTCAGCATATAGGAGGGCTGAGGGGTAGGGAGAGGCATGCAGGCAGGTGTGTGTACACACACAGAGTACTAGGTGATAAATAAGCAATAACCACGTTCCACAGGAACCATTCTGATGGTGAACCATCTGAATAATACCAGATAAACTATAAAACACTCGTAAAGGGAATACAAACACAGACAAATGTGCTAGTAAAATAAAAGTCATATTCTTGAAAATTTTAGGTTTAGAAAATAAATGAACCCTTTAGAAGATGCGCTGTAGTTCGGATCTGAAATGTCCCAGTGGCCTGTGGGTAAAGTCTTGGTCCTCAAGATGGTGCTGTCAGCAGTGGGTGGGACCTTTCCAAGGGGAGGCCATGCTGGGGTTGGGGGCCGGCACACAGGCAAGGTGTCTTTAGGACACTGGGGACAGGACCCTGAGAAGGACTGTAGGAGCCCAGGCTCTTTTCAACTTCCTGGCCAGGAGGTGAGGGTTTCTGCTCCACTTCACATGCCTGCCATGATGGGTTAACTTATCACAAGCCTATAACTCATCTTGTCCTGGAACCTCCAAAACTGTGAGCCAAATAAGCCATTTTTGCTTTTAGGTTGATTATCCCAGTTTATTATTATATTGATGATATATTATTATACAGATATATTATTATAGTGATGGAAATCTGGACTGGGTAGCAGATGAGCATCAGGGAATCAGTCTCATTTCACTGTGTGCCCACAGCATGGGGACAGGAAGCTTTATCAATTGGAAATGGATACTGTTCATAAATAAAATCATGTATGCATAGGATTTGTTTTCAACTCCGGTGTGTAGAAGGGAAAAAGACAGAGATCAGAGATTATAACACTGCAGTTATACAGGATGAGTAAGTCTAGAGATCAAAACAGTAGGAGGACAATTGCTTATAATATAATATACACTGGTAGCTTCCAAGGACTACCTCTCAGGTACTCTTACCACAAGATCATAGCCTGAGAAAAGCATTGCTAGGCAATTTCATCACTGTGCAAACGCCAGAGTGGACTAAGAGAAACCTAGTCATCCTGTTCAACCATGAGGTGTAAATGCAAGGTATAGGAGGCTGCTGCAGGCGTAACAGCACACTGCATTACAGGAAAATTTTTATAAGTAGAACACTTTTTTTAATATTAAAAAGTTCCCTATAAAACTGTATGCTGTACATATGCCGATTGCCCATGAACTTTTCTATTTCCACACCGGCATCACCACAAACACGAGTTGTGTTATTCTACTTATCAGCTACAATGCATCGCTAAGCAAAGGGACTATTTTTTAGTACCATTATAGCCTTACAGGGCCACCGTGGTATACGCAATCAGTTATAAACCAAACATGGTTACACAGAAAGTGACAGCAGATCAAACTTCATGCTGCTCATGTTAGACAGACAAGGAAAAATAAATGACTCAAAACATCCATACACAAACTATGTATAAACTCAGCAAAATGTTGATGCCTGAAACTGGCCAGTGAGTATTTACATGGACTTAATTACATGCCTCATGACTTACAGGTCTG